CATAAAAAGGACATGGAGCTGTTGGAACAAGTCCAGAGGAGGCCACGAGGATGATCAGGGGCTGGAGCAGCTCCTGTATGGAGACAGGCTGAGAAAGTTGGGGCTGTTCAGCCTGGAGAAGAGAAGCTGCGTGGAGACCTCAGAGCAGCTTCCAGTATCTGAAGGGGGCCTATAGGGATGCTGGGGAGGGACTCTTCATTAGGGACTGTAGTGATAGGACAAGGGGTGATGGGTTGAAACTGAAACAGGGGAAGTTTAGATTGGATCTAAGGAGGAAATTCTTTACTGTAAGGGTGGCAAGGCACTGGAATGGGTTGCCCAGGGAGGTTGTGAATGCTCCATCCCTGGCAGTGTTCAAGGCCAGGTTGGACAGAGCCTTGGGTGCCATGGTTTAGTGTGAGGTGTCCCTGCCCATGGCAGAGGGGTTGGAACTGGATGATCTTAAGGTCCTTTCCAACCCAAACCATTCCATGATTCTATGGTTCTGACTGGGGTGCAGAGGGTTAAGAAAGCTGATAAGACTGGAATGCATTTTGATGGGGTTTGGCAGATCAGCTTGTTACAAGTGGCTGGTGTTTTGTTTAAAGAAGAAAGGGCACTTGATATTTGCAATCCATGATAATAATTTTTAATGTTGATGGGAGTATAGCAACAGTGGTGGAATATTCCAGTGATGGAAACACTCATGGAATAATGCGAGCCAGTAGAAAATAGCCTGGAGTGAGCTGTGGGATTACCCATGCCCTACAGAGCTGATTAATGAAGGTGTTTATTACCTTCCCTGAGTAAAGCTGTGCTGAGGTGGCTTTTCAGCACAGCAGGAATGATGCCACCTTGGGGACAGCTGCCGTTTGTGCTGCTCTTATGCATGGGGCTGCAGCCTTGTGGAGACTAAGTCTGCTATTGTGGCAAAGGAAACGGGCTCGTATTCCTTTGAATTCGGGCAAACACAGGTCTCTGGAACAGCCTTATCTGTGCATTTTACATATGCAAAACACCCCAACAGGGTGTCACTGTGTAAGGGGGTCAGCAATACTTCCTGCAGGACTGGTGTAGTTGGGATGTGTGGCTCTAGAAGGCGGAAGCTTTTTCAATGGGAGTGTTTCTTGGCATCTGTGTAAAGTGTTTCCGGGAGTTTTCTCACTGGCATCATTGCCTTGATTCAGGGGATATATTTCTACATCCTGGGCAAAGGGGGCCATAAAAAGAAAGCTCCACTTAACTCTTTATGGCTGCATTCGGTTGAGATCCTCTGTCCTGGATGTGAGTTTCTTTTTCCTCAGGCTTCCATGATGTTTGCCCAGTGCAGCCCCAGGTGTGCGAGCTCCGTGCTGCTGCTGGTGCTGCTCTGCTGCATCCTTCCTCCTCCAGCACTAGGCAGCAAGGTGAGTGACCTGCTTCAGACACACACTGACCTGTGCGGGCAGTGCAACAGGGGCAAAAGCAGTGGAGAAGCAACAGGGTTTCACAAAGACAGGGAGTGCTGAGGTGTGTTCTTCATGGCAGTGGCCTCTGCTCTGCCTTCTGCTGGGGTTTGGAGCTTGCACTGTATAACATGTATTAAAAGTACTTGGTGCCTGGGCAGGCACGTTAACTGTGGGGTTCTTGAGGTGAAGGCAGCAGTGCAGGAAGAAGAGACGTGGTGCAAGGTCCTCCTGGAGAATGTTTTGCCTTCTCCCACCCGCCGGGTGCTGAGGGCACAGCACTGTCCCTGCATCTTCTCTCACTGACACCACCTCCTCGTGTTGTGCAGAGCTCAGAGGACATCCGCTGCAAGTGCATCTGCCCCCCGTACCGGAACATCAGCGGGCACATTTACAACAAGAATGTGTCACAGAAGGACTGGTGAGTTGGTGTGGGTTCACTCCGTGAAAACCAATGCTGGTGCTGGGGAAGTGATTCCCTGCCTGTGCGTTTGCAGTGGAAGCTGGTTTTGTTGGTAGGGGATGTTCAGCCCAGGCAAGGTAACAGAGACTGAGGAATCTGGGGGTGTGATTCCTTAAGCCACAGCTCTCAGCAGATACAGGGTGTACCCTCCTGTTCCTTTCACCAGGACCAGATCCCTGCAGAAGGCGCTTGGACAGTCTGTGCCAGGAATTAGCTGAGCTGTGAAGGGAACTCAAACCTGGATCTGTGTTATCAGCCTGATGGGAAAGCTGGGACACAGGGAAAGTCACCCCAGTGTGCTTCCACAGAGCATTGCTTTCGGCTTGGCCTGCTGCTGATTTTGGGTTCTCTGTGTTGCAGCAACTGCCTGCATGTTGTGGAGCCAATGCCAGTGCCAGGGAATGATGTGGAGGCCTACTGCCTTCTGTGTGAGTGCAAGTACGAGGAGCGCAGCACCACCACCATCAAGGTAACCGTGGCTCTGCTCCCTGTGGCTGGCTCCTTCTCCCTGCCATGCCACACCAGCCCAGGCACAGCCAGACTGGTGGGTGCCTGGAGAAGAGCCCAGGAAGGGGAAATAAAACCATGGTGGTAGTGCCAGGAGGGCTCCTGGCAGGGAGGAGCAGGCTGCACGGGAGCAAAGGCTTCTTGCTGAGGATGTGTGACAGTGACAAGCACCTCTGAGCAGGGGCACATCCTGTTGGGCTCCTTTCACATGCAGCACGTGTCCTGAACTGGCACATCGTGGGGATGAGCAGCACGTTGTGGCACTTGTGTCTCATCAGCACTTCCTGCAAGTGCAGGGGACTTTCTAGTGAGCAAAATCAGAATGGGAGAGGAGGCCCAGCATCTGAGGCAGCTGTGAAAGGAGTTTCCTGGCCTCTGTGCTGCTTCTCACCTACATACTGATTCTTTTCCTCTCTGCTGTCCTTGACTGCAGGTGATCATCATCATTTACCTGTCTGTGGTGGGAGCATTGCTGCTGTACATGGCTTTCCTTGTGCTGGTGGACCCTCTGATCCGGAAGCCAGATGCTTATACCCAGCCCCTGCACAATGAGGAGGAGAATGAGGTGAGGTTGTGCTGCTGGTGCATTTCTCTTGTGCTCCAGGCCCTTCACCAGCTCCATTGCCCTTCTCTGGCCCCACTCCAGCACCTTCCACCTCCTGTGCTGGGGCTGCCCATGCCTTGGTCTCCATTGTTTCTTTCCCTTGCAGGATGCTCGCTCCTTGGCTGCAGCCCTCACCCCATCTGGGGCCAGAGCCAACACGGTGCTGGAGAGGGTGGAGGGGGCCCAGCAGCGCTGGAAGCGCCAAGTGCAGGAGCAGAGGAAGACGGTTTTCGACCGCCACAAGATGCTGAGCTAGATCTTTGCTGAGCACCACTTCCCAAGAGCCAGGGCAGCTCTGCTGTTCGACACGGACAGCAGGTCATCCTCCAGGACCCTGTGGTGGTTGAAAGCTTTAACCCTCTCTGATTTACCATCTTCATGGAGAGCAACAGACCAAAATGGTTTTATCCCCTTACCCTTCACCCCTCAGCCCAGAAGCTCCTGACCCCTTGCCTGGCTGAGGTCTGTGCTCATCGTGGCTGCATGTACATGGTCGGATGCACAGGCTGACTCGAGCGGACACCGCAGCTCCAGGCTCCATCATCCCACCCCTGTGTTGGAGACAGGGGTCTCCATACAGTGTTGGAAGCCAGCTGAGTCTTCCTGGGATAAAGATAGTGGGATAATTTTTATGTGGGATAAGTTATGTGGCGCTTCTCCAGGACAAAGAAGCCTCCTCCTCCTCTTCCAGTTTGCACCGATGTTAACTGGGCGTCATGGCGCTGAGATGAGTGTGTCGTACTGGAAGGAAGAGGAGGGGGTTCCCTGCCCGGGGGCAGCTTCTTACCCTGGTGTAAACAGGGGGCATTTCCACTCTCTTCAGTGGAGTCTGTCCAGATTTACACCAGCATAACCGAGACTGCGGCTTGTTTCTGCATAGGAGATGATCACAGCACCGGTGAGCACCTTCACAAGTAAGAGACCAACAGGTAAAAGGTTGATTTACGTGTTATTTTTTCCTGCTTTAGCAGGGGATAAAAACATACTGGGGAGAAAGCTTTCCATTGCACCCACACTGGTAACCCTTGATGCTCTCACAGCATGGTCAGGAGCACTCGTGTCCTGAGCAGTCTCTGCAGGAGCACTGTAAACACTCCTCTGGGTCTTGGGGCCCTGGGAAAGGGACACTTGTGCTACTCCAGGCACTCCCAAGAGCTCTGACTGGGCTTGGGCTGTGTGGAGGAAACTGAAGTGATTCTGCTATGGGTATATTGGTCCCACTGAGAACATTGATAATGTCAGGAAGGTGCTGGAGATCATCATGTAGCATCTCTGTATTAAATGCAGACAAAACCCTGTTACCTGGCTGGCTGCTTTGTCAGGGAAAGGTCCCATCCCAGCAGGTCTGGGGCTCCAGCACTGAGTGGCTACTCCAGCTTCACATCATACCAGGGTCACATTTTGCTTTACACATCCTTGTTCCATGGGCTCAATTGTTGGACCTTTCTCTCCCTTAAGAAAGCCCCATTTTCCCTGTCCTTCCTTCTCGGTGTGAATCCCTTGTGGATACAGGGTGGTCCCTGGTTTCCCTCCTCCAAGAGGGGAAAAACCTATTGGAAGGGTCTGAACATCTGGACGGGGGCTGGATGGGAACTGTTGTGCTGGTGCGATGGGTCCATCTGGTGGCCGGTGCCCCCTGACCAGCGCTGGGACATGGGTGATCACCAATGGCCGGATTCTTGCCCTAGGCCCTGGGTGCTGGAGGGTGAGGGGTTTGCTCAGTGGTTCCCCCAACACCACCCCCCAGGAACAGGTGGAAAATGGGATAAGGGAGGAAAACCTGCAGGTGGTTGGTGGGGTAGAGAACTCAGGTGGGAAGGGGATGGTGTGGAGAGGCTGCAGGAGCTGCCACTGCCTGCTTAACTGTGGCTTCTTCATCAGATGATTGCCTTTGTCCCCTACGCCATGCTTCCTCACGGAGCTTCTGCTCCCCTCACCCTGCACCCAGCCTGGGGGCCCTGCTCCTGCTCCCATCCCACATCCCTCCGGACACAGGCGCCAGCAGGAGCCAATAATTTAATTCCTCACCCAAAAAAAAAGGAGTGGGGAAACCAAGGAACCTCTGAGTACAAACTGCACCAACGCTGGTAACCTGCCTCCTCCATGGTCAGCTGCCTGCTGCGGTCCAGATCTCGATGCTCTGGATGATGAGCCACTCGCTCTGGTCCCGGGTCACCCGGATCCTGACACACTCCACAGGCCCTGGGACGCCTCTCTCCAGCCCCCGCTGCTCACAGCTCCCCTTCTCAAAGGTGCCCACCATGGTGTAGGCAGAGCAGTCCCGGCCATCGTCGCGGCGCCGCCGGCCCAGCTCCAGCACCCCAGCGTGCAGGATGTCCCCCCGGCGCTCGGCAGAGCCCGTGCGCACCCGGACACGGGTGACCCGGGCTGGATGCTGGAACACGATGGAGAAGGTGCTGCCGGCTGCTGGGTCCTTCCCCCAGAAGTACCCCTCAGTGGTGCTGTAGGCCTTGAGGGGCTCGTAGTTCTCAAAGACGGACATGGTGGTGAACAAGGCCGCTGGAGGGTTGTCAGGCAGGTCCATGGCATCAGCCTGGAACTCGTCATCCTCCAGCCTGTTGACAGTGCCCTGGAAGGAGGAGTAGAGGCCCATATGTTGGAAGAGGGAGGGCTTGAAGCGGATGGCATCCTTCTGGGTGAGCAGGAGGCGGAAGTGCACCAGCAGCCAGTCGCAGGGCATCTCCTGGTAGAAGAGGAGGAGGAAGCGAGCCAGGCGAGGAAGGTCACTGGAGCGGTAGAGCTTCCCGATGTAGCCCAGCTTGGAGAACTCCAGCGTGGCCCAGTTGGAGCCCTCCTGGGAAGCCAGAGCCTTGCGGATGGCCGTCAAGAAGGACTTGGCGCACCACACATCATCCTCGATCATCAGGTAGTAGGAGGAGAGGTTGGCGGCGAAGGCGAGCAGGAAAGCGTAGTCCACGTTCTGCTTGGACCTGAACCTCACCCGCTCCTCCGGGTCATTGAAGTTCCTCTTGAGGCCCTCCAGGGTGGGGTAGGACTCGTGGGGAGCGTGGATGAGCAGGAGCCGGCCCAGGAGGATGTGCTGAGCAAACCTGGTGGCGATGCTGGCGGCCACACGCACGTTCCACGTGGGGTCTGCGTCAGCCAAGTGCACCACCACCACCATCTCCTGCAGCTCCTCCTCTGTCGACTGCTTGAAGAGGGACTGGAGCGTGGCTGGGAGGTAGTAGCCACGAGGCCGCCGCACCGATGCCAGTCCCACCGCCAGGAATTCTGCAAGGCAAAGGAAGGGCTTTGGCAGGCTGGGGGGGACCTGGGATGTGCCACAGGGAGGGGGCTCCAAAAAGCCCTCTCCATGCCCAACCCACAACAGCCCCATGTCAAGGCCGGTAGGTCCCTTCTGAAGCTGAAGCCTCCAGCATCTTGGAAAGCACCCAAATGGCAGGGAGGGCACAGGATGAGAAACCAGGGCTCCTATGAAGAAGAAATATTTAGGGGAAAACACCTTTACAAAAGGCAAAGGTGGGGAGGAGCAGAGCAGAGGCAGTGTATGGGGAGGGATGGCTTCATGGAACGGCTGCACATCCTTACCCGACTCCAAACCTCGTGGAGATACGGCCTCACCAGGATGAGATCACCCCTGCCCTCCCCACAGCTCCTCTATGCAGCACCTGGCCCATACTGGGCCTCTGGTTTCAGCCCAGGCTCATGTGGGGCTGCCCCAAGGTGTTTGCACGGGAAGTGCTTCTCATGCACCAAAGAGCTCGATCCACATCTCCCACAGTGCATGACTGTCCCCATGGTTCAGCCCCACCATCTCCACCTTCCTGACTGGAGCTCAGCCCAGGGAGAGGGGATCTCAGCCACCGTCCCAGCAGAGACCTGGGAAACCCAAACGCCTGCAGTCACCCCAGACCCAATGTGCAGAAGCAGGGGCCACGCTTGGAGCACAGGGACCTTCCTCTATCCCTCCATCTCGACAAAGACAGCAGCAAAGGTTGGCTCGGGAGCTATGCGCAGGTGTCCCCCCCTCCAAACAGGCTGGAGCAGGGCCCTCCCTGAGCTGCAGCATCGATGGGGCAGGTCCATACTGGGGGTCCCAGGGACACTCACTTTTGTGGGGTGGCAGGGAGCCAGCCAGGAGGTGGTAGGAGACGTTGTGCAGTGCAGAGAGGCCGTCTGTGTCCCTGAGGATGCGCTGGGCTCCTTCCGGCTGCAGCAGCTGCAGGACCGCGTCTGGGGCCAAGGCCCCGAGCTCCACCTGGGTGGGAGCCACAGGCAGCCAGGTCAGAGCCCAGAGCACCACAGACACCCGTGAGCACGGGGCAGTGGCAACAGGGGAGCCCCTGTCCTGCCCTGGGCAATGCCAGGGAGAGAGGAGAAGGCAGAGCTGGGGTGGGGGTGATGGGGTGCAAAGCAGGGAGCAGAGGTTGGGGTCCATGTGGGGCAGGCGGGGATGGAGGATGCGCCCGTGGGACATCACTGGTGTGGGACTCACCTCTGGGGGATCCTGCTCCTGCCGGCTGCCCCCGTAGAGGAAGAGGAGGAGGAGGAAGGAGACTGCGAGCGCAGCCGAGAGGGAGCGCTTCAGGGAGCATCGCATAGCACCGGGCACACCGAGACCTGTGCGAGGGAAGCACCCATCAGGCCAGGGCACATGGGGCAGGGGGACAGCTCCTGGGTGCACCCCAGGGGTGACCCCAGCGGCAGCCATGGGGCACAGCTGGTACCGTCCTGCACCATCCCTGCTGAGCGGGCAGGGGTAGGGGGGGGCACCCCAACGCACCCCGCAGCACCCACACAGCACCCGGAGCCGGAGGCAGGCACACGGCTGGGAGGGGTTTAGGGTCAGGGCGGCCCTCGGGAGCGGTCACCGAGAGCTCGGGACCTGGCACCGAGCCCTGGGAAAGGCTCTTCCTGCATCGCAAGGACAAAGCAGCTCCCGCAGCCCCTCCTGCCTGCCCCTTGTCCTGGCTGGACAAGGAACCCATCCCCACCGTGGGGGAGCCGCCTCCAAGGAAGGCGCAGAGCCCTTGCGGCGTTTTGGGGCTTGGCTCCTGTGCTTGCCTGGGGTTTTTCCATTATACATATGAGCTGGAAGAGGAACTGGAGACGGAACGAGCAGGGCAGCCCCAGCCCGGTGCTCACAGCACAGCAGCCTGTCAGGTCAAAGTATCTTTGAGTGCAGACGTGGAGGAAAAGCCCTTCCAAGCCATGCCATAAACCATGGGGAAAGCTCTCCTGAACCAGGGCTGGGCTTCACCTCACATCATGCAATCCCAGCCTGGTTTGGGTTGGAAGGGACCTCAAAGCTCCTCCAGCTCCAATCCCTGCCACAGGCAGGGACCCCTTCCACTGGAGCAGCTTGCTCCAAGCCCCTGTGTCCAACCTGGCCTTGAGCACTGCCAGGGATGGGGCAGCCACAGCTTCTCTGGGCACCCTGTGCCAGCGCCTCAGCACCCTCACAGGGAAGAGCTTCTGCCTAAGAGCTCAGCTCAGTCTCCCCTCGGGCAGGTTCAAGCCATTCCCCTTGCCCTGTCCCTACAGTCCCATAGAGAAACAAAGCAGTGCAGTCAGTTGGGCACAACCAGGGGCCACGGCCCCATCCCTGGGCTGCAGCATCCGTGTCCTCGCTCCTGCCTTGGCGCCTTGTGCACCTTCCCCACAGCTCCACACCCCAGTGGGGCTGTTCCCAAAAGCCATTCCCCTGTGGGGACATTGTGCTGGTGGACAAGAGGTGCTGAGAGCCCCCCAGTCAAACTCCTCCAGTTCACTGGGAGACTCCCAGCCTCACGGTGCTGTGACGCAGCGGCTGTGATTCAGTCCAGCAGCGAGGGGAAGGGGAAGGAGTAAATACACAACCTCGGTCCCACGAGGCCTGAGAAAGGGCCGGATGCTCCCTGCGTGCACGCAGCTCCAGCTGCTTCCTCCAGCACTGGGCAGAGCAGGGCTCTCGCATGGGGAGGAAGGGAACAACCAGGGCTCGGTGTCCCGTTGCCAAAGCACCTTTTCCATGCTGGGGGAAACTGAGGCACGGGAGAAGGCTGTGCATCACAACCAGACCGCCTGCACCAGGGGGCAGGATGTAACAAGCACCAGACCCCACAGCTGGCTGGAGCCTGATGGGCACCACATCGTGTTGCTCACCCACGGCTCTACAGGGAGGAAGGAGGGGGGAAAGCCCCATCTCAATAGCGCAGCGCTCCAAAGCTTTGGGTCAACGCAGGTCCCCTCCAGCCCCGCAGCACAGGGCGGGCTCTGCTTGGGCACTCGGCTCTGAGCCGGTCCCCGGAGCTGACAGCGTGGGGACCCCCAGCCCCGCACCCCGACCCGTGCGGCCCCATCCCAGCGCCTCTCCGGGCTCCCCCCCTGCCCCGGGGCAGCGCAGACTCACGGGGTGCGCGGCCGCGCTCCGGCTCCTCGCTCGGCAAAGCCCCACCCCGGGCCTCCCGCAGAGGAGGAGCGTCCGGAGCGGCCGCTGCCCCGCGCAGGGATGGGGGGGACCCGGGTGCGATGGAGCGAAGGGTCCCGGCCCCTCTGCGGGAGGGATGGGGCAGCCTCAGCCTCCCCCTGCGATGGCACCGGCTGGACCCAGCCACCCGCTGCCAGCATCCGAACCCCCCCAGGGCCCGGTGGAAACCTGCCCCGTGGGCGGCACCGGGAGCCCGGTGACCAAGGAGCTGTGGGCTCTTGCTGCCCCCATCTCTTTTCCAGCCCTTGTGCTGAGGTGGCTGAAGCTGAGACCTGCAGCCCCCAGAGCTGCCAGTATCCCCCTTGGGATGCCCATGGGGACCCGCACATCCCAGCTCCTCGCTGGAGCATCGGGCGTCGCAGCCCTGGCTGAGGACAAGGACAAAGCCCCCTCCAGCTCCACCAGCCAATGTGAGCCTTTCCCATGGCCCAGTTTGTTCCCTGCTCCTCCACCCTCCAAGCCTCATTTCTCTCAATCACTTCCCTCCTCTGGACCCACAGTGGGAACACGGCCCTGGAGCACCCATGAGTTACCCACCAGCTCCCTCCAACACAACTCACCCACAGCACATAGAGAGGAAAACCCTTCCCTTGCCTCCATCCCATCCTCCCCGTTTATCCACACAAAGCATGGAGCCCCTTCCCTGGCCTGGAGCTCTCCTACCTTCAGAAGGGCCCCAGTGTCTCTTCCCAGGCTTTGTCTTGTACCAGTCCCCTGCGACACCCTCGCTGTGGGCTCAGACGGAACTGCCCTGCTCCGACAAACCTGCAAGGACAAAGGTTGCTGTGGAGAGGTAAGGTACAACAGGAAGCAGGTAATGGCGTTGGGAAGGAGAGGAAAAGGCATCCACAGGCTCCTGGATCCACTGGCTTTCCCCGTTCTCACGGTGCTTGATGTTTAAATCCTTAAATTCCCATCACGGGATGCCGGTGGCTCTGTGCCCGTGGGATCCCGGGAGCTCAATGGGGACACCAAGGCCTGTATCTGCACCCAGACAAGGGCTGAGTGACACCAGGACAACCAAGGGAGCTGGGATCCGACCCAGCAGTGACTGCACATGGCAAGGATGGGATGTGGGGCTCAGGGCTTGCGGGGGATGTGGAAAGGACCGGCAGCAGCTGCAGGAACCAGGGCTCGGTGCTTCCCGCCCATGCAGGAAGGAAGGGGAGGGTTGGGGCCACGATGCCCAACGCAGCCCTGGGGTCCCCATGGGACCTATGGGCGCAGCAGGCAGCCCCACTGCAGACCCTGCCCTTTGGGGAGCACACCCCACTGATGCGAGGTGCAGCAGAATCCCCCTGGGGTCCTCATGGGCCATCTCAGGGCAGGATTTGCGCCTCTCCATGAGCCTGCCCATAGTGGGAAAGGAATCCACAGCCAAGACACAGCCCGTGGTGCCCACCACCATGGGGTCTTGGGTCCCATCTGGGGCCAGAGCGAGCACTGGGGTGGGACAGGGACAAGGGAACCACGGTAGGTTCCAGCCACCTTCCCCATAGCCCTATCCTACACTGGATCCCCAGCAAGGAGAGGGGCAGGGGGGGGCTGGAGTGGGACCAAGCTTCCATGATTCCCTTGGGGAAACCGGAGAGCTGGGCTGGATCTGCTTACAGCCCTTCCATTATTCAGGAGCCTGAACAGGACAAAGCAGAAGTAAACCAGGGCCCCACACAGCAGGGAGAGCAGCACGGCTCCATTTCCACACCATGAGGACCCTTTGAGTCGCATCCTATGGGAAAGAGTGATTGTGATGCAGCAAAGAGCTCCTGCCTGGAGCCCTGGCAGGGATCATGGAGAGCAGATGTACCAGAGCCTCACTGCACCCCAGCCCTGGGGAACACTGAACAGCCTTGAAGAGAGGCTGGGCTTGGGGGACAGAGGGTGGGACCCCTTTCTTGGGCTGAGCTCTGGCCAGGAGTCACCCACATCAGTGAGCAAACCTCAACGTGGGGTTCCCATGCTCCAGGGAAGGGAGGAAGGGGAAACACAATGCCCTGCAGCAAGCACAGCCCAACCTCCGCAGCATCCCTGCCGCCTCGCTGGCCTCCTCACATGGACCACAGGAGTTCCCAATCCCTGCCCGTGCTCAGCACGCCTCCAGCTCCAGGGCCATCACAAGGTCTGCCACTGGCAAAGAAAGGTCACAAAATCATTCTGCATTTTATACATTTCAGGCTGGAGAAAGGCTGTCAGGGGAGAGGCATCTCCCTTAATAGAACCCAGCAGGAAACACCCCATTCACCAGCTTCCTGCTCTACCTGCACCACCCAGACCTGTCCAGGGCCTGGGAGCCACCAGTCACCATCTGGTGCTGCTGGAGCACCTCTGCCCCAGAGCATGGGGCTCATCTTGGCCATGCCCTAGGCCTGATGTGAACATTCCTGCTCTCACACATCTCACAAACACACAGCCCCAGGATTTGCTCTGGATTTCTTCACCAGAACAAGAGCAAGGCACAGGGCAGAGCTGACAGACACCAGCCTGCTCCATCCTCCTGCCCGGCCCTGGCCATGAAGCAAACACCTCTGCCTCCACCCTCTGTACCCGTGTCTTGTGCACAGCCCAAGCAGCAATCACCAGGCACATGGTGCTGACATCTTCCTGCAGAACAGGTTTCAGGGTTTGTAGTGGAAAACACCCTCAAAAGCACTTTAAAGCTTTTGGATTCTGAAGGAAACAGGCTCTGATTGACAGACACCTCCCCAGGAGGGCCTACAGCACCCAGAAAGAGCCAGGCAACTGTGCAGCTGATGCTGCTTCACCCAGTGAATAGCAGTGGAGAAACTCCACCCTGTGAGTCCTGAGCACTCAGCAGTATTTAACCCCACCACAGGAACATGACTGTTACTCACCCCATGCTCTGGAGCTGCTTCCTCCCGCACAGCACCCACATGGAGCACCTCAGCTGCAGCCTCCACACAGCCCCAGCACTAACCTGCTGCCCTTCCTCTCCTGCACCACAAAGGCAAGCACAGCTCCGGTCAGGCTCTGCTATCATAGGAACCAGCTTTGTTATCACAGTCACAGCATGCTTTTATTGCCCTTATCTCTGATTCAACGAATCTTGTTCCGAAACCTTCCCTGGCAGCACCAACACAAGTTCAGCAGCAGTGGAAAGGGGAACTGTGAGGGCAGAGTTTTCCCAAGTATGAAGTCAACATGGCAGAGCCTTGAATGCAGATCCAAGTCTGGGTCCTCAGCTGGTGACTTACAGAGCGGCAGAGACACATGGAAGGAACTCCTCGTGGGCACCTATGCAGAACCATGGGGTGTTTGTATGCTAACTTCAAACTGGGATGGAGAATTCCCTCCTTCCAGAAGCTTCACTAAACATCATACATGGGAAACCACTCAGTGACTCCTGCTTGAGGCAGCATCTGATGAGGAACAGGACTGAGGAGTTGGGATGAGCAGGCAGCAAATCCCAGCCCAGGGTTCCTATTGCTTCTGTGGCTCACACACACTGCAGTTCCTCCTCTGCCTGCCACTGCTCCTCCATGAGACCCCATATGCAGCACCAGGATGTGCATCTCCTCAACTACACCTCCAGCCTGCTCTCAGGAAAGACAAGAGTCCTTCATCACTGCTGCAGTTTCATTTCTCCCCTCCATCTCCTCTCCCTCCCTGTTTATCTTCTCTGAAAAGCACCTTCTGGGGTTAAAGGTTTGGATCTTCTCAAAGAGGAAGCAGCAGTGTGAGAACTTGGAATACCTTTACATGCAAGTAAGACTTTTGCCTTACATCTCCTTGAAAGAACTCCTTTTGTCTGATCATTTATGCTTCTCTTTCCTTAAACTCGGATCTGCTGGACTATGAATTACTGGCTCCCTGCTGCTTTCAGACACCCAGAGACCACGCTGCGTTGGAACACCATCCTGCTGCAGGAAAACCAACCTGGGTTTGGTTTGTACATCATTTCTGGTCGTATTCAAGCTGGAAAGCAAAAACCTCCTGTTTCTTCCCAAACAACAGAAAACAGGACCACGGCCATTAGCACCAAAAGGATTTTAAATGAACAGTTCCAGGGAGCTCCTTTCAAATCATAAAATCGGAATTTTACATAAAAGTGTGTTTACAAAGAGTTTCTGCTTTACACTTAGCTCTGCCCATCACTGACCAGAAGTTCTATACATACAGACCAGCGCAGCAGCTTCAACCACTTGCAAGAAGACTGCAGAATTTATTTAAGAAATGAAAAGAGGATTTCCTGCTTCCTTGACATACTCTTCAGCCTGTGACAGGGAGGCACCCGCCGGCTCTGAGGCCCAGGGAGCACTTAAGCTTTTGGAGAGAAGGGGTACTGTGGGTGCCACCAATCCAGGAGCCGCACGCTGTGCACGGGGTCCAGCACAACCTGCACTCCCTGCTCCAGGCGTGGTTTCCTGCCGTTGCGAACCGGAGCGTCCTGGAACACCAGGCGCACGCGATGATGCCTCATGTCTGTGCTCACGTTGATGGTGAACTGCAAGAAAAGAGAGCAGGAGGTGCCTCAGGAGATGAAAGAGATGGAGAAATAGGAGTTCTTCACAGTAGGCTCTGAATCTACAGCACTGGATTCAAACCAGTTCTCTCTGGCTGGCAACTACCAGAAGTGAACCTGGAAGCAAGCGACTGACAGAGGAATCTGGAAATCACTGCCCTGCTCTTAGTCCCTGATAGGGGGTTTGGATTGATGAGGAGCTCACCATGACTGGGCTGCACCCTAAGAGTGCAAGCAGCAGGGCAGGGAAGGGATTCACCCCCTCTGCTGTGCTCTGGGGAGACCCCCTCTGCAGCCCTGGTCCAGCTCTGGGGCAGCAGCACAAGAGGGACGTGGAGCTGTTGGAGCGAGGCCAGAGGAGGCCATGGAGATGCTGCGAGGGCTGGAGCAGCTCTGCTCTGGAGCCAGGCTGAGAGAGCTGGGCTAGGGCAGCCTGGAGAAGAGAAGGCTCCTGAAGGGGAGACCTTAGAGCAGCTCCAGTGCCTAAAGGGGCTGCAGGAAACCTGGAGAGGGGCTCTGGACAAGGGCCTGTAGGGACAGGCCAAGGGGAATGGCTTGAACCTGCCCGAGGGGAGACTGAGCTGAGCTCTTAGGCAGAAGCTCTTCCCTGTGAGGGTGCTGAGGCGCTGGCACAGGGTGCCCAGAGAAGCTGTGGCTGCCCCATCCCTGGCAGTGCTCAAGGCCAGGTTGGACACAGGGGCTTGGAGCAAGCTGCTCCAGTGGAAGGGGTCCCTGCCTGTGGCAGGGGTTGGAGCTGGAGGAGCTTTAAGGTCCCTTCCAACCCAAATCAGTCTGTGAATCATTCTGTGAGTCTATATACACATGGGAAGAGTCTGACCATAGAGGGTTTTGCACTCAGAATTTACTACCATAAGGTAAGGTGATATTTTCTTGAGGAAGGAAGACCTCTTCTCCTGCATCCCTTCCTCTCATATCCTGCTGGGTACTGGCAGCTACCCTGCCCCCAGATGCTGCATAACTACAGCTCATTCTCTACATCATCTATTTGCTGCACCAAATAGGGAAGAGCTGACAGAAATGCAGAAACTCAAATGAGGAGATCCTCAGCATTCCTCTCATCATTAACCCTAAGATTCCCAGAACTGGTTTGCTGATGCACCAGGGTCATTTTCACACCACTAAGGAGGAGTCCTCTGCATCAACTTACACCTGCGAAGTTTGCAGAGCAGCATTCTCCAATACTTACCAAGGTAAACGTCATACCCATGACTATTGGCACGAATATGAAGTTGAAGGTGGTGATCTGCAGTAGACAGCAATCCTGATCTGGATTTGTATGGACTTCTTCATACTGAATGGGTGGCTGGAGACCTTTGCAACACTTGCTCTTAAATCTGGGAGACTTGAAAGAAAGAAACACTTATTTAGTGAAGCAGGATGCTATGATGAGAGTTTGGCTGCCTCTCACCCATGCTGACTAACAGGTTCCCAGTGCATTCCCATACCCTGGGGGAGAGCTTGACTTAAACAACAAAGCACCATCACTCAGGACTGGCAATTTCACTTGCAAGGCCATTTCTTTAGAGGGGAAAGCTGCAGAACTCCCAAGGCTGCCTGAAACTATTTGCTCCTTCCAAGAGCTGAAGATTTTCATGGGCAGTATTGGATTTCTTCACCTCTGGGTAATCTTTCCAATGGGTAAACCAGATGGTTCAGATTTTGGTCTGTATTTTGAGCATTAATGTCAAACGGTCTTTGGGTTTGAGCAGTAAAAAATGACCCAAAGATTAGATTATTTGGGATAACAAATGATCCACATCTTAGAGTGGAAGAAGGACAGCAAAGGTGAGATTCTAAATACAGCCTGAAAACTGAGGGCAGTTCAAGACATGCTTTAGTTTATCATGGGAGTCAGTTTCCATTTGGTGTCTGAGCACATAACAAGTTTCCACCTCCCTTTCTACCACCCAGAAAATTCCTTTCTGCTTCAAAACCAACTCACAGCCATTCTGGTTCTTCTTTCATACCTGCTTTTTGAACTTGAAGTTGAATTCCCACATTGCTTCTTGTCTGTTCCCTTCAATCTTTTTGCACCAGAAAAGCAGACACTGAGGTGGAAAGAAAAGAAACACAAAACTGAGGAACCTCGAGGCACCACTTTAAGGAAGTTTTAGCAGAGCAGAAAGGCTTCCACTGACAAACACAGCTACACAGGAGCAGTTAGGAACCATTTATTCAAGCGAATCATGTTCAGAGAACACACTCAGCAGCTCAGGACTCCCAGTTCCGAATTGGCCAACTCATCATGCAGCTGGATGATACAACAAGGAGCACTGATGTGCTGAACAAAAAACCCCAGCGCACACTTTGCCCCTTTCCTAAGGCAGAGGTGAGTGGAACAGATTCACCCACTTCACCCAACCACCAGGAACTGCCACTAAACTGGACTCCAGGCAGGACTGAAGTGAGGAACAACTGAAAACAGAGTAAGGATCGAAAGGAGAGGATCCGGAGGGAAATACAAAGTCCAACACACAAGCTATGAGGTGACAGATGATAAAGTTCCTAAGCCACTGTGGTGTCAAAAGAAGGTCTTGGCATCACTAGGCACTGATGGTCAGATTTCACAGTATAAAAACCACCTCCACGATAGCATGGGCTGATCAACCTACTGTCCCTTCTTAAAAGCAGATGAGGAAAGAGCCTCAAACAGCATCAGAGCTAGCCGGCACTCACACACCAGGAGTCCTCCAACTTAATCCAGTTATCTCTGTGTGGTCCACAGGCTCCATCCCAGCATGCAGCACTTGCTCTAGAGCAGAAGTCTCAGCAGAGCTCCTGTATTAAACTGAGTAGGAGGGAAATTCCCTGTCTACCAGTGAGTAGAAGCAAGTAGCCTTCAACAGCCAAGAAAAGAATCTGGCACATCAGTGCAGCCACCACTGCAAGTGTTTCCACACCACAGATGCCAGCCCGCCACAGCTGGTCTTATCTTTGAACAGTGTCAGCACGAAAAGGAAGACTAATATGGGTAAAGACAGCTCCCCATGACTCATTCACTGTCTCTCCCACTCCAAGAGAAGGTCTGACTGGATTGCAGGGCGAAGCACACATTTAATTTCATTCCAGGACTGCGTGACCCCAAACAAAACAAAGCCAGAGCCAGCCTCCACCATGGGGGCTCTGTAGCTAGAGCCTAGGGGTGACAAGACAGCCTTTACTTCAACTCTGAGTCATGTCCATAAACAAGAGTCCTTAAAGGACCTTTACCTCAACTACCCTCATGAGGTGAACAAAGCAGCTACATGGAGTCAAGCTCAGAAACATGCATCAAGTATCCTCCACCAGGGAGGTTACTGATAGAAAGGCTCTCCAGTAACTGAGAGTTACTGGGGTGAGCAGCAAATGCTGCTGAGCTCAACCCCACCAGCAGCAGCATTTGTGGTTCACCTGCAGAGACAGCCTGATCTAGCAACTGGTTTGGTCATGGCAAGTAGTGAAGCACAAAACGGTCAGTACCTCCTAAGGGGCAGAGGATGTCGTCCCCGCGTCAGCCGTCCTGCCCTTCAGACGCGCCGTGCGGCTGCCGCTCCGCCAAAAATAATGGGGGTGTCTTTAAAGGGCAAACACTTCTGCTGACACCATAACAGCTCCAGTGTCCCACACAAGCTAGGCTAGGGAAAGAAAAAAGGAAATTAAAGAGGAAAAGCTGGAGTTGATAACACCCAGGGCTGGGGGGCTCCTCTTGCCACATGCACTTTCTGTAGGCATCTGCCATTAGTTTTCAACGACCCATAAAGGTAGAACCAAAGCCCTTGAAAGCCAGAATGTGGGGAGGAGGTAATGGCAGCTCCTCCTCCGTACCCAGGCATTTCTGTGCACAGTAACACAGGTGGAGCTCAGGGTCTTGCAGTGGAGTAGTGCAGCAAGACCAGGCTCACGTTTCTGCTCCAAGGGGTTAGGTCAAACAAGCCTTGTCACCATTTAATTTCCTTTTTTACAAGCTGCATAATAAAGGACTGCACCCGAAGGACCTTCCTCACACCGTTAGTACAGTAGAAGCACTAGCAGTGGGCACCAAAGCCGTTATGATGTCAACGTGAATGCTTCCAAAATGCTGACCCTGCCAGCACCATTTCATGGTTTTCTACAGCCACGCCACAAGCTCCAGCAGTGGTGGGAAGTCAGACCCAGGAGGATTAAGGTTAAGTTGGAATTTCCTAGAAATGTTTTGCTTTTTGGGTTTCAAGAGATAGGATACCCAAAGCGGAGATTCGGGATGAGAATGAAGAGCTCTGGATGCAGAGATAAGACTGCACATAGAAGTGTGTGCTGTTCTGCTGCTCTGCAGCACCACCTGCTTGTGGGACTGCTGGATGCACCCTGAGCCATGTGACAGTTTTTTCCAGTATCCACCAGGAGAGGAGGGAAGAAAGGAGGGATATGTCACATACAGACCGATGAGGTTGCTCTATTTAGCATGGGAAAGTCCAGCTCTTGAACCGAAACTACCTCAATTAGGCCCCCAAAACTTCATTCAACAAGCTTCTGACTTTGGCTTTGGAGGGTGAAGGATTCACATTGCTGCTTAAGCTGCTCACAAGAGTATCAGCCAGTTGCAAGTTAAACCCAAACAAGAGACACAGAGGCGTTTCAGAGTTAATGGTCTACAGCAACTAAAGAGGAATAGATATGCAAGTGCTCCAAGCTGGGATAGCAAAGGGAATTGCCTGCCCACACCAGCCCAACACAACTGCAGCCCCAGACCCAAAGCAGACACGTGGCATGCTCACAACCTCACTGCCCTCCTTGCCCAGACCCCAAGCCGATGGATGACCTACAGGAGTGCGGTACGAAAGGACGCCCTTTCAGAGGCTACCAGTGGCACTTCTCATCTCTCCAGATGCCTGCTTGGAGAAAAGATGTATTCTGCAGACAGTGTCAGAATAAAGCAGAAGATATAAAAGCTGATTCTACTACAACCTCCTTTCAGCAACACGTTTGCAATAGGGGAGGAGAGAGCTGCAAACACCCCTAGCAGTTCTGGCATTCAGTCAGCAAGTGCCTTTTTGCTGGTACAAAGATGGTGTGGTAGGAATTAAAGTGGAAGTTACCCAGAAGAGTAACCAGAAACCTCTGCAGCAGCAGCTCTACAAGTAACCAGTGTACTTTTTAAAATGACTACTCGGAGTTGGAAGTCATCCCATAGCCAAGTTTCACTGGCACCATCTGAACACGGTCCATTTTAATGCTAGAAAGGGAACGAAAGAAAGCCAGAAAGAGCAACCTCTCAGACATACCCAACTTCCTCAGTGGTTCCACTTACTCTGGAATTTTTTAAAGTGCTGGGAGTACTGTCTGGAATAGCTGGATTCCTGGAAACTCGAGCTGCAAAAGGCTCGTACATGTGGTACAGCGACCGGATGACACACGCCCGAAGGCAGTGCAGCTTCTCCATCGACTCCGGGCGCAGGCGCAGGGGCAGGTATGCGTCCAGACTGTAGTGCCTGAAAAGCCAATGACAAACCCAGCACATGCTGAAGGGTTACAATGGCAGAGATGTGCAGAGGAGAGCTAGAAAAGAGATGCACGTGGAGGGAAAACTGAGTATCTGATTGATCAGAGGACCTCTGGTCAGCTCTGACAGCTTCAAGCATGCCGCACTGCTCTACATGAAATCTCATAACAGTCTTAAAGGCTTCACCCATATCAGACAGGTATACACAGAAGCATATCATCCTACAATTCCCCACTAATCCCTTGCAGACAGTTTGTCCAGAGAGCCCAGATGGTGTTTTAAGCTGCAGGATGCAGAGAGACCTGCAGATTCCTGCAGGCTCTCAAGGACTCTTTAGTGGAGTGCAACTGCATCCCTGCAGACAACTACCTGAGCTGTCTGCCTGTGCTTGATGGTAATTCCTTGATCCAGTGCCAAAGGAGCCTTTGCTAGGGAGCTTCACACTAAAAAACAGGGGTAAGGATGACTATGGCTGCTATTTGACCCCCACTCCACCAGCCTGCTCCTCCTGGACAACAGACACAGAAATGTAAAGAAAATATTCTGTCCAGAAAGAAAGTCACCAGTGTGGTGCACCAGGACAGAGGATCTGGTTCAAGTCTGACCACCTCTTTGCTTTCCTTTTGATTTATGTATTTATTTACTTTTACTTCTGCCACTGAGACAGCTCCAAAATGCCTTAGCTCCTTCTCAGGCCACTCTAATTACAGGAAGGTGGCCACGGTCAAAGCTTGAGGCAGGGCAAGCTTTCCACCAGTGATGTCTTTCAGCAAGGTAATGGCACTGACTCTACTGTAAGCACTTTTGAGTGCTTTACAGCCAAAGCACACTGTTATAAACAGAAGCAGGTAGGCCATGGCGAGCAGGAAAATACATCACACTTAGGATATTATACACAGGAATATGCCACACAGATCCATTTCCAGATATAAAGCAGATGCAATATACCACAACCCCTTGACAGATGAGGCCCCCATCACCATATCAATAAGCAAATATTCTAGGACACTAGCCAAGAGGGAATTATTCCCTTATTTACAGCACCACAGAGCTGGTCACTGCTGAAGCCTCCTACAAGTAGTCTTTAGAATCTCACCTTCTGTAGAGCCTGGTCCAAAAGGCAGCAGTGCAAGTAACAGTCCAGGCTTTCTTGCAAATCAAAGAGAAGCGGACAATGTCCTCAGGGCGAATGTAGGAAGCCAACAGCAGCCAGATATCAATGGGGTATTCCTCTCCACCACCCCCATCAGGATCTTCTAAAGGCAATGAAGGTATGTTAGTGTAGTAAGTGGCCTCTTTATCAAGTCTTATCTAGAAGCATTTACTTTATTACTGGTAGCACAGGGTAAGCAGCTGAAATACGTATAGATGTAGGGTCAAAGACACCCAGGTTAATACAGCTTCATTACCACTGCTACTGGTTTTCATCAGCATGCCCTTGCCCATCCAAACAGCCATTATGCTTGCCCTTCACTGGATAGATGCCATCATTTATCCCTGCCACACTGTCTGCACAAGTATGATAAGTGGCAGATTCAAAGAGTAATTCAGGCTGAAAGGTCCTCTGGAGGTCTCTAGTCCAAACAGCTCAGCCCAAAGCAGGCTGGACGAGATCCTTTTGTTCAGGATCCCGTCCCATCCAGTTCTGACTGTATCCAAGGATGGAAACCCCACAGCCTTTCTGGACCCTGTCTCAATGCCTGACACTTTCACAGCCGAAAAACAACACTGAAGTGAAGAAATAAAAATTGATGGCAAATACAGAGGCAGCTTTATGTAAAGGAGGGCCAAGCTCAAGATTTATCAGGTCATTTAACTTCAACTTCATGAAAGCTCATTTAACAGGCCAGCAAAAAATGCTTTGCACTAGAAGTCCCTGAACATTACAACATTGCCAAGCTTGTCAGGTCTTTGTTCAAATGGTCACAGTATTTTGATAGAAGCTCTGCCACGGAGAGCAAACAACTCTCTGCAAGTGGCTGATCAGCTGCTTCTCTTAAATCTGATTTCATTAAAGCTTCTTGGAAGGGAATGGCCCATTCTTCCTCTCAGAGGTGTCAGAACTGATCAACCAGAACTGAAGGCACAGAAACGCCTTCATTCTTGCAGTGGGTTTAACACCGCACCTTTTGCCACACACAGTGCTCCAAAAATACTTTCAAAGAACATAAATAACTAAACCATACTGAGCATTAAGAACATTAAGAGAAAGAAAACATACAACCTGTGTATGGTGCTAACAGAAAAACTGCTTCAGAGTTTGTGAATAGGTGGCATAAAGAAGGTGTTTAAGAACTTGAGGGTGCCAGACCTCATCTTGAGGCAGCAGACTAATAGCAAAGGGTAGTACTTTAGTCCCATGTGATAACTGCCAAAGTAAGCTCTGCATGTAACCTCTTCCCTGCACCACTCTGGATTTATGGCAGGCACACCCACAATGGGCTGTCACATCCACTTTGCTGTTTCATCTCACTCAAGAAGCCATCGAACTACAACTGCAGAACTGCAGAGCACAGCCAGACGCATCCTTGGTCTCTTACTGGTTTGTTCCTTCCCTAAACACATAGCAGAAGTAAGCCAAGGTTGGGACAGACCAGAATCCTGTCTTTCCAGACTGCTAACTCCCATAACTCCAGCCACTCCTTATTTTCCCAGAATTCTGAAGCATGTCTTAATAAAACAGATTAAACTCCTATCCCAGAGGAGTGCTGTGCACCTGCAGTCCCTGATGGATGGCAATGTGTTACATAAATCAGTGTCAGCATTAAGAAAGTTAAAGCTATTCTTAAGCTCAAGAAACCAAGTCAAACTTGGTTTCTCAACCTGGAAGTAACCTTTCTTCAAAACTCCTGCAACATTCCACAGTGGAGCTGAACAGTCTATTGCTTCCACTGCAATGCATATTGTTTTCTAGAGCTGCACAAAGTGCTGAAGGCTACAGCTCCCTGGCATTACCTTACCACAATGCCACTAGGGCCAAGTTCACTTGCCTGCTGGAAAAAAAAGCCCTCTACACTCATTTGTAACAAACCACAGCTTGGAAACACCCTAAAGACAGAGCCTGTGTTCTGCCAGCCAATGCATTGTGGACAGCAGCAGTTTCTTCCCCACAGCAAATGCTACTCTCACCAACAAGCTCAATGAGAGAAGAACCTGTCCAGTGGCAGTTTCACAACTCTTTCAAGAGCAGCATTTGTTTTCCAAGGTTCAGAGAGGTTTACTGAAAGGAAGGAGCTCTCAGGCTTTGATTTCACAGCCAAGGCTCTGCCTCTGAGGAGTCCCAGCAGATTCAACCGATTTAACCCTTGGCATTTCATTTCTTTATGCACAGACAAGTTACAGAATGCCCCAAAGAGCCCCATGAATAGCCTGTAATTAGCAAATATTAACATGATGTAGGCAGAAGCCACAGCAGCAGCCCCTGCAGAGCCCTCAGGAGAGGCTGGTGACAGTACAACCCTACCTTTGTGCCTTTTGCTCTTCTTTTTTCTAGAAGCAGCTCGCCCGTTGATGCTCTCCTTCGTATCCATTTCATCACTGCTGTCACAAGACTCCCCCGATACGGAGAGCACTTCCTCAGCAGGAACACAAGAAGCTTCCAAACCACAGAGGGATTTTACTAGAACGACAAGCAACCACACAGTGAGTGTACCAGCAGAGAGGAAACGGTGCTCCAAATTCAGGAGGTACTTCACAGGAGCCACAGCCACTAAGAACTGCATGAAAGCTTTCTGGTGAGTGATACAAGCAGGTAAATCCTGAGCCCAAGGATTACCTCGAAAGATTAGCACCACTGAGTGAACTGGAAACATCATTATTCAGTTTCTTGTTTTAAAGAGTGAACAATGAGAATGAGCACCAGCACATGCAGGTGATCCCACTGGTTTAGCTGAAGCTGTTTACGATTCCAAATAGAAACAACAGGCTCTTTCTCTACAGAGCTCATGGGTTCCCCTGCACACCAGAGCTCCCCTGCATGGCCACTGCTCAACCTAGAGCCAGCACCTACTCTGTAATCATTCTGTGAACACAGAAAAGATACACTGCCTTCTCAGCAGGATAAAGAGATCCTGTGACCAATGACACATAATCCACTAATGATATAAGTGGGTGCCAAGCAAGCAGGAGCTCCACTTATCCTAGAATGTAGTGAAGGGAGACTCTGGCCTAGTGAGGAAAACAGCAAGTCGAGTCAGTTTGTTTGGTTTTGGGTTGAGGAGATGTTTAGACACATCCTTGCTCTCATTTTTAACAGGATCTGTAAACTGAGGGCTCCTCGAGGCAGAAAAATCCAACTGTGAGGCAGTAAAGACAGGTTACTCTCTAAACCTTACTTATTCATGCCAGTGGCATCCCTCACTGTCAAATGGCAATGCCCTCTCTACATCACCTTTTACAGGCAAAAAGAGAGAGAAATAGGTGGCAACAGGAATAGCAACAAGTTATGACACCAAGTACAGCCAAGCAAGAGAGGACAACAACTGAGACTCTTGAGAGAGGGTTAGAAATAGAAACCCTCAGGCTCTGCAAAGATCAACATCTGAGTCGACAGCACCAGTCCATTCATACTCCACTGTAATCTTGCAGAGGCACCTCTGTTCATCTCACAGTTGTAATCTCCACTCCATCCCTCGGGGTTAGGATGGGGAGGAGGAAAAAGCACAGGATGATTCCCCTGGCCTTTGCTCCCTGCCCTGTGAAGCTCCCTGCCTGCTGGCAGTCACAGCACCATGTTTACTTGGAGCCAGGAGGTGAATGAGGCCAAAGGCTGAAGCTGCCGGGGCAGAGGCTGCTGTCCCCATGTCCCAGTGTGCTGCACCAGATAAAGCTGTAGCATGTGTCAGGACTGCACCAGATAAAGCTGTAGCACAGCCCCAGGCTGGGGAGGAGAGATCCTGAGGATCTCACATAAGGAGGGGAAAACCCCAATGACTTTGCACAGCAAAGACCTGAGGAAGGGGTGGGCAGGGAGCTGCTATGACCTGTAGGCAGGCAAGTAACACAGAGAGGAGCCAGAAACAGAGCAGGATTTCAGAAGAGGGCTTCAGCTGGACAAAGCAGGTGATGCTGGATGCAAGGACTTAGAGTGGGGCAGGGAGAAAGAAAAGACAAGAGTTTGGCAGGTATGATGCCGAAGCACAGTACTTTGAGGCAAGGTGACAGAACACAGAAGGGTAAACAGGAGAGGGAAGCCGCAGTCTGCTACAAAGGAGGTAATAAGAGGGAGGTGCCCTTGTCTTAAAAGCTTAAGAAGTAGCAGCTAAAAAGGATATTCACCAGTATCACTGCCCCATACAGCTTCCCTCACAACAAGCACTTGCAAAGAGCATATTTTGTTTAAACGTGAAAGATTTCAGCAACATAGCATCAGTTTTCCTAGATGAAGGGCTCAGTCTTCACTGTCAGTCTCACAGCATTCACCTCCAACATGTGTAACCAGTTCCATTAAGAGTGGAGGCCTAAACATTAACATTTCTCAAGCAAACGGGGTGTGTTAGGTCAGAATGCGCTCCCCCAGCAGCTGAAAACTGAGAGGAAGCTGATAACTAAATATTGCAACACCTTTCCAGGAAGCTCCTTGCTTATGCGCTTCAGCAAGGAAACAGCAACACCCTCAACAGAGCTCCCTGCAGCACAGGGAGGGAACAGGTTTGCCAGCACTATCATATCCCCACTGCAAGGACTTTTACCTGCTAATAAAACTGGAGACAGTTTTATAGGAGGTATTAAAGCCTCCTATCACGTTAATTTCTGCTCCAAGCAGGAGATAACACCTCATAGTTAATGGCAAAGGGCCTATTGCAGGCACTGACAAAGACTCAGCAATTCTTGCCAGCCTTCTGCAAAACCTAAGATCCCAACCACCTGATTCTGCAGAGGAACAGACTCATTCCCAGGCACTGAATGAGATGGACTCTCTCAGGTCACAGAAGGGGTGCTCCCCCATCCTGCTGAGGTGGGCAGCGCAGGGCAGCAGCCTGGGGAAGGCAGGCTCCTAGCACACACTCACCTTCCTGCTGCACCGCGTTGGCCACGGCTTTCTTCACCCGTCCAGACTTCACGACAGCCGGGTCTGAGTTCGCGTAATCCGCCACCGTCACTGCGGGAGACGGCATCAGCAGGATTAGGGATTACAGGGAGGGGAGAGAAGGGCTAAAAGCCGCCATCCCTCAACGGGGGGCACAGGCACAGGGGAGGTGCACAAGCAGAAGGAGCACGCCAGGAGCCCCCCATCCCGCTCAGCTCAGGGCTCCCTCTCCCCCCACCTCAACCCACACCAACCCCACAGCGCCTCTCTCCGAGCCCTGCCTGAGCCCCAGGCCCACACTGACCAAGCCAGCTCAGACCAGGCCGGCCCCCCCCACCCCAGCTCTCCCCCTCCACACCCCCAAGCGGGCCTGGTTCCCCCTCCCACCGGGGGGCGGCTGGAGCGGCCTCATCTCCCCCCCAGCGGGCCCGTCAGCCCCTCAGGTGAAGCCACTTCACCCCCAGGCCCCAACACAGGCCCAGCCCCTCCTTTCCGGCCAACACAGGCGCCGCTCCCTGCAGGCCCGGCCCAGCCCCGCTCTCCTCAGGCCCCGGCTCTCACCGCGCTCGGAGCACACATCGTCGGCCCGGAACTTGAGGCGCTTACGGGCGCCCCTCTTGGGCATGGCGGCGGCGGCGGGGCGGCCGCGAGGGGCCATGTCCCGCCCGGGGCCGCAGCGGGGCCGCGGGGACAGCGCCACCCCCGCCAGCCCCGCCCCGCGACGCGCCGTGACGTCACCCGCCCGCGACCCAGCCGGCGCGCCGCTCTGACGTCACGGCGCCTAGGGGAGGGAGGGGGGGCACGCAGACCTGGGTTTGCCTTTTCTTCCCAGTCTGCCCAGTAACGAGGGGCCTGGAGGGGGTTGATCCTCCCAGTAACAAAGGGCTCTAAGGAGATGGCTCCCTCCCAGTAAAGGGAGCACCTGGGGGGATTTGCACTGCTCAGAAGTGAAGGTATCCGAGGTAACTTCCCCCATACAAAGGTCTCTGGGGTAGTGGGCTCCCCAGTACTCCGAGTAATGAGGGTAATGGGAGCCACACTCCTTGTAACCCCCCTTCCCAGTCCTCCCAGTAACAAGGGGCTCTAAGGAGATGGCTCCCTCCCAGTAAAGAGAGCACCTGGGGGGATTTGCACTGCTCAGAAGTGAAGGTCTCCGAGGTAACTTCCCCCATACAAAGGTCTCTAGGGTAGTGGGCTCCACAGTACTCCCGGTAATGAGGGTAATGGGGCCCGCACTCCTTGTAACAACAGCCTTTGAGGTAACCCCCCTTCCCAGTCCTCCCAGTAACAAGGGGCTCTAAGGAGGTGGCTCCCTCCCAGTAAAGAGGGTGCTTGGGGGGATTTGCACTGCCCAGAAGTGAAGGTCTTGGAGGTAATTCCCCCCTGCCCCCTTACAAATGTCTCTGGGATAGTGGGCTCCCCAGTACTCCCAGTAATGAGGGTAATGGGAGCCACACTCCTGTAAACCCCCTTCCCAGTCCTCCCAGTAACAAGGGGCTGTAAGGAGATGGCTCCCTCCCAGTAAAGAGAGCACCTGAGGGGATTTACACTGCTCAGAAGTGAAGGTCTCAGAGGTAATTTCCCCCATACAAAGGTCTCTAGGGTAGTGGGCTCCCCAGTACTCCCAGTAATGAGGGTAATGGGGGCCACACTCCTCCTTTTAACAGCCTCTGAGGTAACCGCCCTTCCCAGTCCTCCCAGTAAGGCCTCCCTTTGCACCCCCAGCCCATGGGAGCACTCCCCAGTGCTGATGCCTGTGTGAGCCCCCTCCTGCTGCCCCCTGGTCCCTGGGTGTCCACCACCCCCCCGGCTGAACCCCACCATCCCCAGGAGCAGGAGCGGAGGCCACCCCACACCCTTGTAGTGGGTGACACGTGGGCTGTGGGTGCAGCACTGGGGGGTCACTGGGTGTAAACTGCCTTTACTGTTTCTGTTGGGTGCCACCTCACTTCAAACGGAGCCATAAAGGGGGTCCAAGGCAGGAATGGCAGCCCGGAGCCTGACTGTGATCCTGGGGCCCCCCAATGCTTGCACAGTGCTGAAAGGAGGATTTGGGCAGCACTGGGAGCAGCTGCTGGTTGGGAATCCCAGCCAATCCTAAGGAGTTCCCTTTGGGATCTCCTTTGGAGGTCTGGCACCCTCCCTTCCTTGACAGGCACTGAGCAGCCCCTGCTGTTGTGCCTGTGCTCCTTTACTACAAGGCCACAGGAGATGATTTGGCTCTTATGAGGCCAGGGCCACAGTGAGATGATTCCAGGGCTGTGGCTTCAGCTCTTGTGCCTCCCCGGAGCAAGGGAACACACAGGGTACAGAGGAACCCACGTTTCTTCTGCTTCCAGGCACAGCCAGGAGCTGACAGCGTAAAGAACTTCCATTCCTGCCTGGATTTCTTTCAGCAGTTCATAAAATACATTGAGAGCCTTTTATCAGCAAGGACCATATCTGATGGTTGAGAAGACTTCTGATAATCCCAGCCAGGAAAGGCCATTCCTTGACAGAAATGCTGTTTCTAATTCATCTGGTTTGAAAACAATTGGTATGAATGAAGGGCAATGGCAGATAATACAACCAGCTCCCAGTGCTGAGGGGTTTACTCACCTCTTTGGTACTTGAAAATGCTTGCCTTGGGTTATGATTGTTATCTGAGAACTGTGTCACGGGCTTCTTCTTAAACAGCAGAGGTTGTCTTGGCTTGGAAAACTCTGGCACATGGAAAACAGATGAGTTTTTACCAGGGTGTGCCAAAAGCAACATGAAGGCAGCTATGTATCCTGGGCTGCATCAAAAGGAGTGTGAGCAGCAGGTCCAAGGAGGGGGTCCTGCCCCTCTGCTCTCGTGAGACCTCACCTGGAGCATTGTGTGCAGTTCTGGTGTCCTCAACATAAAAAGGACATGGAACTGTTGGAACAAGTCCAGAGGAGGCCACGAGGATGATCAGGGACTGGAGCAGCTCCTGTATGGAGCCAGGCTGAAAAAGTTGGGGCTGTTCAGCCTGGAGAAGAGAAGCTGTGGGGAGACCTCAGAGCAGCTTCCAGTAACTGAAGAGGGCCTATAGGGATGCTGGGGAGGGACTCTTCATTAGGGACTGTAGTGATAGGACAAGGGGTAATGGGTTCAAATTTAAACAGGGGAAGTTCAGGCTGGATCTAAGGAGGAAGTTCTTTACTGTAAGGGTGCTGAGGCACTGGAATGGGTTGCCCAGGGAAGCTGTGAATGCTCCATCCCTGGCAGTGTTCAAGGCCAGGTTGGACAGAGCCTTGGGTGCCATGGTTCAGTGTGAGGTGTCCCTGCCCATGGCAGGGGGTTGGAACTTGATGATTTTAAGGTCCTTTCCAACCCAAACTATTCTAGCATTCTATGATTCTGTGTCTGAGGCTGGCTGATGTTCAGACTGAGCATCTGCTTCTCCAGTGGGGCTGATGCTGATGCTGTGTGAGGGTAGGAGCAGCAGCATATGGGCTCAGGGGGCCCAGATTCATTGCTTACCTACTAATGCTTGCCATCCTGTGCAGTCTCTGGACAGCCTCTGCTGCAAATCCCAATTCAGGGAGCAAGAGGCTCTTCCCAGACAGGGAGCCAAGGGTGAGGGTCCAGCCTCACACATCCACCACCACTGAAATCAGGAGGGGTGATGCTTCTTGTTCCCCCATGGCTCAGAGCTGGGCCTCGGCAGGTCATGGAAGGGACATGACAGAGGTTGGGGCTCTACCTGATTCCACCTTTGCTCCCCACACGGCGGGGTCCCCACATCCAGGAGGAAAGGGATGCTCAGGATCAGGCTGCCTCACAGCATGGGTCTGCCTCCGCTTGTCTAGGGACCCCTTGAACAGATCTGCTGCTATGGGGCTACAGAATCCCAAAGGATTTCCTGCCCCCCAGCAGTGTTCTCTGTTGTCACCACCCCGAGGAATTCCTCCCCCCTCCCAAGTTTTCTATCACCCCAAGGACAGGCTGGATCCATGGGCTGTAGCCAGTGGGATGAGATTCAAGAAGGTAAAGTGCCAGGTCCTGTACTTGGGCCACAACATCCCCTTGCAATGCTCCAGGCTTGGGGAAGAGCATCAGGAAAAGGAGCTGGGGGTGCTGAGTGATGGAGCTGAACAGGAGCAGCTTGTGCCCAGGCAGCCAAGCAGCCCCCAGCATCCTGGCCTGTACCAGCAGCAGTGCAGCAGCAGGGCCAGGGCAGGGATTGAGCCCCCGCACTGGGCACTGGTGAGGCCGCACCTCGAATCCTGTGTTCAGCTCTGGGCCCCTCACTACAGGAGACCTTGAGGGGCTGGAGCGGGGCCAGAGAAGGGCAGCGGAGCTGGGGCAGAGCCTGGAGCACAGTGTGATGGGGAAGGGCTGAGGGACCTGGGGGGTTCAGTGTGGAGAAGAGAAGGCTCAGGGGGAACCTGATGGCTGCCTCCAACTGCCTGACAGGAGGATGGAGCCAGGAGGGGCTGGGCTCTGCTCCCAAGGAACAAGGGATGGGACAAGAGGAACCGGCCTCAAGCTGCACCAGGGCAGGTTTAGATGGAGCTGAGGAACAATTCCTGCCCCAGAGGGTGTTCAGGCACTGGAACAGGCTGCCCAGGGCAGGGCTGCAGGCACCGTCCCTGCAAGTGTTCACACATCCTCAGTGCCATGGGTTAGGGGTGGCCTTGGCAGTGCTGGGAGCGGTTGGACCGGATGGGATTAAAGGGCTTTTCCAGCCCCATTGATTTGATGACTCTGTGATGCTAAGGGGGGATCCTGACCCCGGGGCTCCTCCTGCCCCCCTGCTCCTGCCCTGTCCCCCCCCGACCCCCAACTCACCCCACGGGGCGTGGCCATGGGGGCGTGGCCCAGCGGGCTGGTGACGCAGTGGGCGGGGCGGGGCGGGCCGCGGGAGGCAGCGGCGCGGCGGCGGCTTCCAGCGACTTCGGCGGCCGGTGAGTGCGGGCGGGGCCGGGCGGCCCCACGCTGCCTCCGGCCCTTGGGGCCGGGCGGGGATGCTCAGCACCCCCCCCGCTCTCCGGTGGTGCTGGGTTCGGGGGGGCTCTGCCCTTCTTCCCCCCCCATCGCAGGGATGCTCTGCTCCCCCGAGGGATGCTCTGCTCCCCCCGGGATGCTGGACCAGTGCGGATGTGCTCGCTGTTCGCCTCCCGGTGGGGATGCTCTGCACCGCCGGGAGGGTGCCTCAGCCTGGGGGTGCTTTATCTCCCCGCCCGTTACCCCATGGAGGGGGTGTCGGGGTTGGGGGGGGTGCAGAGCTGCCCCTTTCCCTTTGGTTGAGGCTGAGCTGAAGGGGTGTCATCCTCACCCGTGAGCTGGGTTGGGGGGGATTGATGTCCTCTGCTCCCCAGCTGAGCCGGGGGGTGCTCATCCCGCTGCACCGCTGGCCCCACATCGTGGGGGCTGAGCCGGGTGGATGTGCTGCCCCACCGCATGGGTGTGCAGGCAGGAGGGGCGAAGGGATGGGCACATCCGCACCCGGGAGGCTGCATGGTGTGTGTGTGTGGGGGAGGCGATTCCTTTAACCCGGGAAGGGGGTGTCCATGATTTTCCAGCTGCTCTCTGCCCCTGGCAGCCCCCCAGTGTGGTCCCAAGCTGTCCCTTTGCACCCTTCCACCCGACAAAGGTTCCACGCTGTGCTGATGGGGAGGGCAGGCATCCTAGTGAGATTGGTCCAAGCCTGGCCTTTTCCTGGCCTTCTCCTCTTACTTCCCAGCACCAGATCCTCCTTCCT